GGTAGAAAAGTGTAACTAAAGATATGTAAAGTCAAGACCTAATAATATAGTTAGATTTAAAAAGAAGTTCCAGTTGCTGACCCCTTCTGACAGTTTCCAGATACACTGGTAGCTAACCACTGTTATTGGTCATTGGATAAAGCCATGGTGATATTTATACGAACACAACAACAATTTTAAAAATATTTTGGCTCAAATCATTTTTTGAAATTATTAAATTTTTAGTCCCTTTACAGCTACAATTAAAATTATGACAAAATATCAGACTTATAGATAATCTCCATTAGTGGAGGGTCTACAGGTCGACAAGTTACATTCAATATTTTAGTCTCCAAAACAGTTTCTAGACATAGCTCTTTCCCAAAAACCACCTTTTTATTTTAGTGCTTATACCTTGACTATACATGCTTTAATTTCTTTAAAAATTTTGTTTATTCTTGCCTATAGGCTGCCAAACTCAAAGTTATCATAGAGATAATATGGAGATAATAGAGACAATATCAATAGCAAATGCGCTAGGTATTTTTCTTTACCAAAATCCACCAGATTTACCTTATAAAGAGAGTTTATAATTACTACATTTTAGTATTTTTATTTAAGGTCTGTTAAGGCCTATTAATTTAGCTTCCTAGAAGGGGCCCCTGACTGCGGTCTTCCCTTCTTTGACCCTTTGCAGCTTGAAGCAGTTAGATGAAACCTGTGCTCCTTCTCCCCTAATTGCAGTTGGGGATAACCCTTTCAAAAAGAGCTTATTGTAGACAACTAGGGGAGTTAAATATATTATAGGTCCTTATAACCTATAGAGAAAAGCCATTATTGGGTATACTCACTTTTCCCTAAAAATACACTTACATAAATAGGAAAGGGGTATACAGATACCTCTAAAACTGAATTAGATTTTCTCACCTTCTCTAGTTGCCTTCATTTAAAATTTTTTTAAATACATTCATGGAAAATAAATATCTTCCATCAAAACTCCATTGATACTAAGATAAATCTACAGACATGTCCGAGATATAAATGTTGTCTAATGATGTCCTACCTATTAGGTTATATGGCTTAATGCAATTAATAATATAGGAGCCAGAGCATGATTGTGTTCCTACAGAGGACAAACTCAGACCTGCCTTTGGCTCATTTCTTTCCTTGGGAAACACTTGCTTCAGTGCCTGTTTTTACCAATCAGTCTGACATCTTCAGGGAACCATTCTGATGGTCATATCTCTCCTATATCTACCACCTATAATTATGGTAGCAGAACAGTGGGTGCCTCTCTCTGTCTTGGCCCATCTTTCCTCTGTCTATTATGTTGGCTAATTGAAAAAAAAGTCATTGTTGGTAATGCATCAGGCATGGATTTAGATGAGTTGGTGGTAATTAATAGTTTCAATCTTACCTCAACAGATAATCCTCATAACCTTTATGCCCCCTCTCCTCTTGGCATAATGTCACTTGTTATGTTCCTCTCTCAAAGTATGCTCCTTGGGAAGTCTGTAGCACCCATGAAGTAAATGAAACTGTTGTACAATGTTATTGGCCACCTTCCAGCATTAGTACTACATATACTAACAAAATACTTCCAAAGAGATCTTTGGCGATTGGCTGCCAGTTTACTAGTGATCACTCTCTCTAGTCATAGTTTAAAGGACAGGAGTCACACACGGGCCCATAAGATCTGGGCATGCACTTATGTGTAAAATCCTTATGTGCTCCTAGTTGTACAGCTCAATATTACTCCAATATTACTTTTAATGTCGGTTGCAAAAATTGTAATCTGCCTGCCTTACTAACATTAATAAGGATAAAGATGTGCTAATATTATATAGGCTGTCATTTGTCATGATACCCACTAATATTTCTGGCCCTTGGTATCATGATCATGAACTGCAAGTACTAGAAGAAATACATGGACAGCTCATTCACCCTCATTGGATGGTAGGACTTACTATTCTAGGAATTATGTCTATAGTTACTCTGCTTGCCACCACTGTGGTTGCATCCACAGGCTTGGCACAAAACATATAGAATGTGCAAAAAATTACCTCTTATGCCCTTGAGACCCAGGGAGATGTTGATGTTAAATTGGAAGTACAGGTTAATGCCTTAGTGCACAGGAGTGTGTTATCGATTGTGCCCAAGGCAGGCTGTAATGAGTTAACTCCACTATTGGCTTGTTATAGAAGTGAATCTTGATGAACCCTATGTGCCAAGGTCAGAGTAAATCACACCCAAATTCCTTTCCTACAACTAAAACCTTCAGGCTAGAAGGACAATGTTCTAATTACAATAATATATTTTGTCTATTCTGTTGTGAATTTGTCTTGTTATTTATGAGCCTTGTTTACATTAATTTCCATAGAAACCACATGTTACCTTTACCTCAATTGGCTGCCAATAAAAGTCAGTGCCTGAGACTGGTCAGCATCTTTGCCGGTTACACCAGCATTGGTTGTCCTGGCACTCCACTTTCTCTCTCTTAGTTCTGTCTTTTAGTATATATTTTTTCTCAGGCCTGCATTGCACACTGGGCAGGTGGAAACTAGAGACTTACTGCAGGAGTCTCTAGCACTTCTAAACTACAATGTTAGAGATTCGTAATCAAGTTAAGTCCCTACAATACTGTCAAGGATTGCAGTGCTGTGCTAGTTACTTTTCTCTAACTGCTGAGATAAAATACCAAATACCCAAAGTTGAAGGGAAAGGAGTTTATTTGGCTTACAGTTTATAGAGGTTTTACTCCATAATCAGCTTGCTCCAAGGCTGTGATCAAAACTAGCATCACAGAGGAAAAGCAAAATGGCACACACAAGGTAGTAAAGGTAACAAAGGGGTTAATAGCTTCTCCCTCCCTTTTTTATCTTATTCAGACTACTTAGGGTGGGTAGTACTCACACCCTTAATCCTAGTGCCCTTGAGCCTAGCATTGCATCATGAATCAATTCCAGCTTCACACACTCTAGATCAAGCCTATGACCACATAAGGGTTGGGGAGACATCTAGACACAAACCATAACAAGTGCCATGCTGAATACCCTGTTTGCATCACTGCTCTTCCTTACAACGAGTCACAGTGGGATTGGGAAAAGATTGTTGCACATTTAATGGGTATCTTTCATCATACCAATCTCAGCCTAGATCTCCAAAAGCTTCATCAACAGATCTTGTCCATTCAACATGCTTATGTTAGTTTCCTCACCCCTGAGGATGTGGCAAAATCAGTTCTTGATTTGTTAAATGGATTCAATCCTTTCAATCTGGCCAAACATAGCCAGATTGCTATGTTCCTGGCAATTCTGATATTCCTGTTGCTATTAATGGTTTGTTTGCTAGTCCTCTGCAGAGTCTTCTGAGGACAACTCACTGAACTAGCTTGAGACAACATCATCACAAGCTGCAGCTACAAAATGGAACAGGGGAAGTTGCTGGGAGCACTGGACTGTAGATCATTATGGCCAGTCCTAACTCGCCTCCTTCTGTGAATGAGGCTGGGCCCTGCTTGGACTGAGGAACACCCATCTTGTTCGCTTCCATCTGCAGATGAGGCAGGGCCCCACAGGAGGAGAACAGGCAACAAGAGGGCATGGGGGAGCAAGGCCTGGCCAAGGAAAGGACAGTCTTCCTCCCATCCATACCCTATAAAACCATCAAAGCATGATGTTCTGCAGACCTTAGCTATTCTCCTGGCTCTGGTTACAGACCAGCACCTTTTACCTACCCCTACACTTCCCTTATCTCTACCACTATCAAAAAACATGCTGCAGTTGCCTGGTGGTCTTTTTCTCCCATCAGGAGGAAGAGCCCCACCTGTCCCTAGTTTCGGTTTCTCTTTGTTCTTTTGTATGTCTTTGTCTTTGGTTTTTCTTAATCTCCCACTGTCATTTCTCACTTTGTGAACCCTTCAGCCATGCAGGCCATGGCAAGTGATATCCTCTCTTGTGGACATCAAACATTCACTAATGCAAAAAAGAGTTATAATACTGAATTTTTAAAATCTTCTGTGGGAAAAATACATGAAAACAGTAATTAGAAACTCCATACTTTGAATTTTTGCTCATATCTATATATTAATATGTAAAAATACTAGCACCATGTTGAAGCACTTTGGCATTAAAAAAAAATAACATCATGGACAGGTGTTTCTAAGCTATAAAACTTAGTTACTGATGTAGTAAAATCAAATAAAATATGATAATTTGTACCTACAACAACTGGCACTCAAGACATAATGGAATATTAAAATGAAAGGCATGAAGGAAAGAAGAAAAGATAAAGAGAATAAGCAAGGAAGTAGGGAAGGAAGGCCATTAGAATGTTATGATTACTGCATATATTTATTGGGCTCAATGTTGTCCAGTTAGATCTTCACTATATGTCATTTTTCTCATTTCATTTACAGGAAGAACAAAGCAAAGAAGTAAAGTAATTGAACTATGTTTCCCTCATTAGCAGTATAAACACTTGGTTATCACACATTCAGATAGTGTTTTTTGTCCTCTGTTGCCAAGGTGGCACTTAGTGAAATGACCCTAAACAAATAAGTATACATAAGCAAAATGACTTGGAGAAACATAAAGAACCATAATAGTGAAGTTATGGCATGGCAATTGGTTATAATCATCATTGAGGAGAGTATCAGAACAGCTAAAGCATCCAATAATATTAATTATAAATTAGCTAGTCTTTAATTACTTCCAAACATCATTTTTATTTATCCTATAAATTTTGTGGCATTGATATTATTATTACAAATTTACCCATTAGTGCTTCTAAAACTCAAACAGTATGCTCAAATGCAAACAAGGGGTAGATGTCAAATGAAAGAATTTCTGACTTCAAAATTTGACCTAAAATGTATTATGCAATGTTGTTTCCAAATTAACTTGTTGTTATCATAAAAGATGATCAGAATAAGCCCAAATAATTAATAATATAAAGAATTTTCTGACTGTTTTGTTCTAGAAAATTTGAAGATGAGACTCTTTGGGTGATAGTAGGAATTATAAAATTTAATATGTCCTGTTTTGTGAAAAATAATGAAGCAGGGATTAATTATCACTGATGTTATTTTGGCAAAGTTCCATTCCAGGGCAATAAAAATGAAGGAGAGGAGGAAAGGTCAGGAAAGAAAGCAAAGAATGGAATTCTGAAACAATGGGAGCCACAGTTTCACAATGAGTCACAAAGAGACAGACACAATAACCATTTCTTGAGCAGGAAGTGTATCAGTAGGAAGCACAAGGAATTTATCTACCGAGATCCCATCTATTCTTCCCTGCTTGCTGAAAACCTACCTGTTTTTAAAGTTTGTGTCACAGAGATGAAACTGTTCTGTACTTCCAGGTTGTATCATCCAGTGTAGAATTTTCCTGGAGTGAAGAATTTACAGAAGAAGGGGCTAGAGACTATAAGAGTGATTGGTTGAGCTCAGAGCATACATGTAGTTTACCGGCTGGAGTCAGAACAAGTAGTTGAAGATCTAAGTAGAAGTTGAACTTGAGAAAAACTGTGGAGTACAACAGATGGTCTCACAAACGATGCATCTAAGATCACCTATCAGGAAGATACACGGGGAAAGAAGGTAAAATTTAAAATAAGAGAAAAGCATTGAAAGAATATTTTCTTTCCATAGTAACATTCCCTTTCTTTCCCTCTCAATTCTCTTCTTAATGTCTTATTAGCCACTAACAAATCTGTTCTCCATTTCATAGTTTTGTCATTTCAAGACTACTATATTAATGAGATCATGCAGTATGTATCCTTTCAGAATTGGATTATTTTACTCAGTATTGATTCTCTTGCATGTATCATTAGTTTATTCCTTATTGTTGCTGAGTTTCCTCCTTTCTTATTGCAGAGTAGTAATATATAGTATGTATGTACCAAAGTTGGTTTAATTGTTCATTAATCCACAGAAAAACTTCTGGGTAGTTTTCAAATTTTGGCCATTATAAATAAATAAAATCCTATAAACATTTTTGTATAGGTTTCATGTGAACATGAGTTCATTTCCTTGAGATAAATGCTCAAGAATATAACTGACTCAGAGCAGTTGCATATTTAGTTTTCTCTTTTCTCATATTGTATGAGTTATGGTAGTGTTTTCTTTTTACCTGTAGTGGTTGGTTTTATCTGACTTTCCAAATTTATATAGGTAAAGCTATTCATGGTGTTCTATTTTTGTCCTTTAGATATCTCTAAGGTCTGCAGCAATATCCACCATTTCTTTCTGTTACTAAAATTTTGTATATTCTATTTTTCTTTCTCTGTCAGTCTTCTTAGAGATTAGCCAATTTCATGGATTTTTTTTTCAAAAGACCAGCTTCTTCTCTCATTGATTTTTCTCTGACATTGTTCTGTTTTCAGCTTCAAATAGTCCTTCTCTTATCTTTAGTAATCCATTCTGGTTTATTTATGTTTAATTTGAGCTTCTATTTCTAGGTTCTTGAAGCAGGAATTTAGATTACTGACTTGAGACTTTTCTTTCTTTTTTTTCCCCTAGCATGTGTCTTAACACTAGACCACAAATTTTGATATATCATACTTTCATATTCAATTCAATATAATTTTTCCCTTGAGATTATCTTTGATCTATGAATTATTTAGAACTGTTCTTACTGTTTGAATATTGTGCTGTTATCTTTTTGTTGTTGCCTTTTAGTTTGATTCTATTGTGTTCAGAGAGCAAACTGTGAAAGATTGTAATTTTTTTTTTTAGACAGGGTCTTGCTATGCAGTTCAGGCTGGTCTTGAACTCACTGTGTAGCTCAGGCTATCCTTGAACTCACAGTGATCCCCCTACCTCAGCCTCCCAAGTGCTGGGATTATAAGCATGCACCGCTATGTCTGGCTTTTTTTTTTCTTTTTAATTTGTTGAGGTGGGTTATGTGCTAAGGATATCATCACTCTTGGTACATATTCACATAGACACTTAAAAAGCATGTCTTGTCTGTAGCTGTTGAGAAGACTAATATATTGTTGATTAAATATTATTCTTTGATAATATTGTTGAGTTGTCTACATCCTTGCTGATTTCCGTATCATTAGGTCTGTTGTTGCAAAAGGATGTTTAACTCTCCACATTTAATTGTATGCTTGTCTGTCTCTTTTTTCAGTTGTATCATTGCCTCCTTCACATAATTTGTAGCTCTGCTGTTTGGTACATAAACATTTATGACTGCTATGTCTTCTAAGTAGATGGCACTTTTTAATCAATGTACACTGTGTTTTCTAGTAATTTTTTCTTCTAAAGTCTATTTTACCTGATAATTATTTATAAATTTCACTATTTTTTAAAAAATGATTGCACAATGTACTTTTTCCATCATTTTAATTTCAACTTGCTTGTATATTATTTTGCAGTGAAATTTTAGCAGATAGAATATATTTGGCTCATTGTTTTTATATCTACTCTGACAATCTGTCTTTTAATTGATGTATGTAGACAATATCCATGTCATTTATTTATTGATATGTTATAGCTTCATCTTGCTTTTTCATTTGCTGTTTTCATTTTGCTCTCTCTTCCCCATATTTTCCTTTGTTTTCTTTTCTCTCTGTTTTCATAATATACATTTGAGAATTCTATTTTGATTTAACTGGCATTGGTTTCTTTTCTTTCTTTTTAATTGTTAAACAAAAGTTTAATGCTATGGGATTCTAGATCTTGTATAAATATTCTATTTAAACTATTTCCTCTGACACTGCTCCAACAAGACAAATGGGTAGGGTAAAAGTACAGGTTCCCCAGCTGGCCCCCGCTGACATCTGATACAGAAGGGTTTCTTGTTACAGATGGATGGGGATAGACGTTCCAGTCCTTCCTCCTTAAGTCTCCACTGTTTGTGAGGGGTCAAGTGCTTAATTACTGTTTGCATTTGGCTCCATTGACAGAAGGGGGTAAGGAGTGAGAGGAAAGTGGCTTCATTGCCACTAGGCAGTGGTGAAAGTTCTGCCTCTCCCTCAGACCTCCTTCAATGCCTCTGTCATGTAGAAGAGGGGTGCTTCATTACTTCTGGGTGGCAGTTAAAAGAGAATCTTACTGTATGTTCTCTCTATCGCTGCAGGGATGAGCGCCTTGCAACTGCTCCATGCATCTGAAAGTTTCAGATTCTACTAGTCCTTCTGCGACCTCAATTTAGGGGCATGGTAGGGTGGGCCAAGGGAAGGTAGAGATTAGTGTATTCTGTTAGATCTTGTTCAAAGTGAAAAGCTAGGATTCCCTTTTATTTCTTCCTGATTGTCAGTGTGTGTGTGTGTGTGTGTGTGTGTGTGTGTGTATGCATTATGTTTAGCCAGAAGCAGCCATTTGCTATGGACTGAATGTTTTTGTCTTCCCTAAATTCATATGTTGAAGTCCTGAACTCCAGTGATGGCATATGTAGATGAGGCCTTTGAGATATAATTAGCATTATATTATGTTGTGAGGTTGGACCATTATGATAGAATTAGTGGTCTCCAAGGAGAAGAGAGAACACCCCCTAGACTGTTGATGGAACCCAGGAACTTCTGAACTACATCCATCGTTCTTTTTAATTTTGTTATTTTGAGACGGATTCTCACTGGGTTCCGCAGACTACCTCAAACTTGTGATTGTCCTTTCTCGTACTCTTTTTTTGTGGATCTACCAAGAAAGGCCATATGAGGATACAGCAAGAAGGTAGCCATACACAAGCTAGGAAGAGTCCTCTCCAGAATACAAACCAGCCAGTGCGTCAGTCTAAGATGTGCCAGCTTCCAAAACCATGGGCAAGTAAGTTCTATTGTTGAAGCCACCCATTCTATGGTTAGGGAAGCTCAAACAGTCGAATACATAGCTAATATTTTGTATTTTTCTGTCTTGTTAGGCTTTTACATTCCTCTCATGACCAGAAAGAGGAGGCATATGCTTGGGCTTTTTTGTTTGTTTTCCTTCTCATGTATTCCTGAATCTTGCTGGCTTCTTCATCTGTATGTCTAGGTATATAAGGCAAAAGGTAAACTAGGTGAAAACCCATCATTCAGTAGTTTTGTTAAGTCACAAGATTTCTAGCTGTCTGATATCTTTCTATATTTTAGAATTCTTATGTTTGTTTGAGATATTTTCCAGGGCTTTTAGTTTTATATGGGAGAAGGAATAGGGAAAAAGTACATGAATTCAGGCTTCCTTGAAGTCATCTTTTATATTATGATGTTTAGAAAATTGTGAAATCACAAATAAAATATAACTATTAGCTAGAATATATAATTGGCCAAAATATTCTATTTACTATATTACATAATGAATTTATTAAATGATGAAAGCATACTGAATTACAAGGTATTATTAACTAATATATTTAACGCATACTCTCTTCTTAGGTAATCTGAAACATTTTACATTGTTCAGTAGAGTTTGTCCAGCAACTTTATATGATAAGAACTTTTGTATTTTTGTTTTAATGATAAGGAAAGTGAGGCTTAAGGAAGATAATTAAAATTTTAAAATTCTTTTATGTAATCTAGAGATACTCTTTGAATCCAGACAGTCCAACTTCAGAGCTGATGCTTCAAACCATTGTTTATGCACATTTGAATCCTCTGCCAAGAAGGGTCAGTCTGCCTTTCTCCACATTAAAAGCTCATTCTTAAATGAGCACCTTTTAAAGCTCATTTTAAAGTTCAACCTAAATAGAATATTCTTTTAATGAAATCTTCCTTAAAGCCACAATTGGTCCTTTCATATTCTGCTTCCTATAATTCTTTATTCATACCATTTCTATGCTCAGATATTTTCACTTTCTGTTTTGTTAGTTTGGTTGTCTCTTCTTTTTTACTGTTGATTCTTTATTGGGAGGCCCTTAGCTCATTCATCTTTATACTGTCATTACCTGACACTTGATGGGTGGGTTCTCAATGACTATTGACTGGAACTGGTAAAATGAACAGAGAAGTCAGATTTATCAATCAAAATCTAACAAAGTACATGATAGGGCTATGTTATGGGAAAGGGATCTATAATCAGTAAATTCAGACATAACTATAGAACATAACAGCATAAGTATATAATGACAATTTTTATTGTAAATTAAATATGGCTTTGGGAATTGTAGAGTATAAAGCATATTCACTTTAGTGAAAGTGAGATCCATTTAAAAAATATTATGGTATAGTAGGAAACACAGGGAAACTTTCAAGTCAAATATTCTTTTGCTCAAATCCCTTTTTTTCCCTCATTCTAACTCTCTGGACTTGGGATAATCATTTACAATCTAGGAGCCTCAGGTTCTTCATCTGGAAAATGAGAGTGATTTCTACCTCATTTTAAATATTAGAATTAAATGAGTTCACTATGTAGAAAATGATTCATGCAAAATAACTTCTCATTTGTTTCCCCACTGATTATCTCCCAACCCTGAATTTTTAGGCCAAAAGTCATTCACTGTAGATGTATTTTCTCTAAAAACTGACAACATTCAGTAGTAGTACTTGTAGTAAGTGTAGTGTTACATTCTTCAGTGAGGAACTCTAAAGAGATTAAAAATTAATCTCAATATTCATCTTAAACTTGGTAATGGCTTTCTAATTTTTAAGGATTTTGATTTGGATCATACATTTGCATTTTTCATTAAAATTGTCTATTGGAGCCATACCTTTTAAATAGATTTTTAAAATGACAACTAAATATTATATATATTTATGGTATGAAACATGATGTTTTCATATATATATATATATATATATATATATATGTATACACATTATGAAGTGATTGAATCAAACTAACATATTAATTACCTCTCATATTTATCAATTGTTTTGTGGTTAGACTATTGTGTAAGCACTTTTCAAGTATGGAATATATTGTTAACTACAATCACCTCATCATACAACAGATTGCTTCACTTACTTCCTCACATTCCTCGCATCTAAATGAAATTTTCTAACCTTTGACTGGCATCTCCCAACTCCTTTCCCCCACCCATAGCTCCCAGTATTTCTACTTTCTACTTCTATGAGTTTGACTTCTTGTATTCCACATGTAAGTGAGAGCTCATGTTATTTGTCTCACTGCCTGGCTTATTTCAGTTAATGCCATTTTTGTATTTTTCTCTGTTTCTGTCATGAAATTTTCCAGGGTTACAGGATGAGATCTCTGGAAAACAGCCTGCAAAGGCTAACAGGCAGTGGAAGGGCAGAGTGTTACACTAATCACTGTAATCCCAATTGGAATTTATGGTTCAAGCATCTTTATTGACTGAAAATGGTAGAAATGTTATTACACAACTGCTTGGTGTTGCTTTTGTGTTAATTTCTGCAAGACTTTTCTTTTTAAAAGTGGTCTCTTTAAATAGATAATTACCACAGTAGATAGGAAAGAAGAGAGGCCAGAAATTTCATTATTCTTTAAAATAACATAAAACTGGTTTGAATGGTGAGTAACCTATACTTATATCTAGTAAGTAGCAAAGGGTCAGGAATAAAATAATAGGTAGGAGTTAAATAAATAGAAATGTATTTCCTAGAGTGATTTACAGACTTGAAGGACAAATGAATTCAACCACTCAAATAGTACTTTTATAGTTTAAAAAATGTATGTCTTACAGTTTACAATCCTTTTTATAAACATATAAATATATGATAAAAATAAGAATTTCTTTCCAATACCAGTGTCCACAAAGCATTTCAAATACAACCTGTATGAAGCTAAGCATAATTTGTACATGTCTGTTTCTTTTCTAGGAATGTCTTCATGCTGTGCATAGAATATTCGGGTCCCTCCAGAACTCTTACATTGATATCTTTACATCACAACAATGGAGCCCTCATGAATAGGCTTAGTGCTTTTCTACTTCTATGAGTTTGTCCCCATTCTACCACATAAGTTTACAGCAAGAAGAAAGTCATCAGAGAGAAAACTCATCTTCAACAGACATCAAATTTTCTATTTTAGTCCTAGTCTCCAAAACTGTGAGAAATGAATTTCTGTTGTTTATAAGCCCTTCGGTTTATGATATTTTGTCATAGTACACCTTAGGGGCAAAAACATTATCTAATTTAGTCACATAAAATCAGTTTCCAAGTCAGAAATATCAGATCAGGTGTGACTATTTATCATACCACAGATCCAACTGTTCACCAAGTCTAGCTGATTTCCTTTTAAAGCATCTTTGTACTTCTGCTACCACCTCTGTTGAGATGGGGCATGTAGTATCTCTCGACCAGCAGCACTTTTTTTTCTTCTTCAGCAATAGATACCTATTTATTTGAGATTGTTATGTGGTTGTATTTTACTGATTGCTTAGCTTCTCATGAAAACCTGTGTGTATGTCCTAGCCTCTTTGACAAGTAAGTAAAATCAAATTCTTGAAGCTAAATTATTGACTAGTAAGATACAACTAGAAATGATATGAGTAATTTGGGAATGTGTTCTTAAGAAGGACATGATGTGCTTTTCTCATATTATTTCTTTTTTTTTGACCATTTAGAGTATAGATGTGAAGGATGGAAATAGAATAATCATTTTGAATCATAACTTCATTGCCCAAAGTTGAGAATGATAAAGCAATGATATAGAAAAAACATTTACACCCTTGTCAACTGAGAAACTATTTTGATAACCCTAAATTGATAATATCCATATTTCCTTTTATTTAAAATATGTTATGTTGAGTCTTATCATTTGCAGTTGAGTAAAATCATAAAAATCATAACCTGTTAACTGCTTTCTTTCCTGACTTTATTTCTCTGTAGAAGAAATGGTGCTGTAGACCATCCTTTCCGAAACATAAGCATCATCATGATGTTCTTGTATTTAACACCTACCACTTACAGAAAAGTCAGAATTATTACCAAAGTTGTAAAGGTCCATCATATTTTAATATTCAGGTCCTTTGACATTCTAGCACACACTACAGCATGCCTATACCCTATCTTTTAGCTACCCCGAAATACTTGTTTCCTAAACATACTATGCTGCTCATTTCCACCACATCTTAAACTGTAGCAAGATGATCCTATGAAGATCTAAGTTAGAGTCTGTCATTCTTCAGTTTAGAAATCTCCAGTGATCCCTTCTCTCACTAAGAGTAAAAATCAAAGTACTCACAAAAGCCTTTACCTGAAGCCTTACTGATTTATGACTCCTTTATATCTCCTTCAGCTCTCCTGATTAGTCTGTTCTAGGTCTTCATTGCCATCTTTGGAATCTGTCATATGCTTCAACTTCAAGGACTTTTTAAGTTTTAAAGTTTTTTTTTTCACCTGGAATGCTGTTTCTTAGTTGTTTTTTTTTCTCAAATCAGTTTTTCAATGAGATTTTCTTTGGCCGTCCCATCTATAATTATGATCTCTTTTTCCTTGAACCAATTCAAACACTCTTTTTTTTAAATGCATAACTTTATTATCAAACACACATATACAAAAATTAAAATTATTCAAAGAAAACCAATGCAAGGGAAAAATCTATAACAATATTCAAATATAGTAGAGCTCATTCAAAACAAAACTGAAAAGTACTTAAACATTTTTCCATATAATTAAAAAAAATCATCTCAAGCATTAAGACATCAGAGGATGTGATTTGTTTTAGAAAGATTTTCAAAACTAATATTGAACAAATAGTGGTCTGGAAAAAAATTCTAATTGTCTAGTAGACTCCACATGGCCAGATTTTTCAAATTTAAATTTCAAAATCCATGTGACATGTGATAGAAATGTAATTTGAGAAATATGTTATTAGGCAATATCATCTGTGTGTATCACAAAGTACCACACAGAGTGCCAACTTCTAAGTGCAAACTGAAAAGGTATACATCAATCATCTGTGATGGCCCCTTGATATTATCCAAATACACTGTTAAACACGAGATACATGAGGCTACCACTGGCATAGCAGCACACTGTTTTACAGTAAACTCTTTTATATAAGTAGGATTATGCTCTAAACGATGAAAAGCACAGCATGTTATGATGAGTACCTAAAGCAGTAACAATCATTTACCACACTATCGTGTACTGTGTACTGTACATAGTCATATGTGCTTCTTCTGGAAACATACCCTTCTCTTTCTCCTTTGATCTCAGTGACTCTATCCTCCCAACCCACTTATGAGCTCCAGCCTAGTCTCTATCTACATCTTTTCCTAGAGTTTAAAACACAATCTATATATGGATTCTTTCCAAATTCCAGCCTGCAACTCTGATCTCTCACTTCCCCTCCTGCCACCCCTACCCCTTTGAGCCTTTTCTTCATATTTCAAAATTTCAATTCTTCATTTTAATCCTTAATTACACTTTCAGTTTCTCACACTAGAGAAACTATTTAGTATTTATACGTGTGTCCTATTTATTTCACTTAAGAGGATGGCCTCAATATGCAACCATTCAGCTATAAATGTCTTTAGTTTCTCATTCTTTATGGCTGAGTAGTACTCCATTTTATAAAAAAAAACAAAACACACCTTCTTTATCCAGTCTCCAGCTGATGGGCACTTGGGCTGTTTCTAAGCTTTAGCTATTACAAACTGTGCTACTATAAACATGGGTGCACATATATCACTGTGGTTTGATTCTTTTAATTCTTTGGGGAAGATCCCCAGCAGGGAGATAGCTGGGTCAAATGGGGCCTCTAAGCCTTGTTCTTTGAGGTATCTCTGTACTGATTTCCACAGTGGTTGCACCAGTCTGCACTCCCACCAACAATGGAGAAGGGTTCCTTTTTCCCCACATCCCTGCCAGCATTTGTTATTGGATGAATTCTTTATAATATCCATTCTTTCTGGGGTGAGGTAGAATCTCAGTGTTGTTGTCATCTGCATCTCTCAAATAACCAGTGATGTTGAACATTTTTTCATATATTTATTTACTGCTTTCACTTCTTTGTCTGAGAAATGTCTGTTTATTTCTGATGCTCAAGTTTGAATTGGGTCTTTGAATTTGGGGGGTCTGATTTTTTTCAATTCTTTATATATTCTTGATAGTAGACCTTTATCTGAGGTACAGCTGCTAAAAATTTCTTCCCACATTGTAGGTTGGCTCTTAGCTCTGTTGGTAGTTTCTCTTACAGTGCAGAAGCTTTTTAATATGATGAGAGCTCAGTTGTTGATTCTTTGTGCTAGCTCCTGTGCTACTGAGGATTTGTTCATAAAGTCTTTTCCTATGCCAATGTCATCAAGAGCTCTAACTAACTTATCTTCCAGCAAATTTAGTGTTTCTGGCTTAATATTTAGATCTTTAATCCACTTCAACCTTAGTTTAGTGCATGGTGATAAGTATGGGTCTAGTTTTGATCTTTGGCAGGTTGAAATCCAGTTTTTCCAACACTATTTATTAAATAGGTTATGTTTCCTCCAATGAGGGTGGTTGGCTCCTTTGTCAAAGATGAGGTTTCTGAGTATGTCTGGAGTTGTTTCTACATCTTCTAATCTATTCCATTGATCCTCAGGTGTGTTTCTTTGCCAGTACCATGCTGGTTTTTTTCACAGTAGCTTTGTAGTATAGTTTCAAGTTGGGAATTATGATACCCCCAGCCATGTCTCTGTTGCCTAGAATTCCTTTTGCTATTCTAGGTTTCTTCTGCTTCCAAATGAATTTTTGGATTGTTTTCTCTAGTTCTGTGAAGTATATTGTTGGAATTTCAATCAGCATTGCATTAAATCTATACTGTAGTTTTGGAAGTATGGCCATTTTCACTATATTGGTTCTTCCTACCCAGGAACAAGGGATGTCTTTCCATTTGCTTACATCCTCCTCGATCTCCTTCTTCAGAGTGCTGTAGTTTCAGTATAGAGGTCTTTTGCTTCCTTTGTTAGGTTGATTCCTAGATATTTCATTTTTTTAGATGCTATTGTAAAAGTAATTATTTTCTGAATTTCTCTCTCAATTGTCTCTGCTATTTGCCTATAAGAAGGCTATTGTTCTTTGAGTGTTAACCTTGTATCCAGCTACTCTACTGAATCTGTCAATTAGGTCTAGAAGACTTTTGACCGAAATTTTTTGGGTCTTCTACATAAAGTATCATATCATCAGCAAATAATGACAGTTCACTTTCTTCCTTTCTTATCTTTATTCCTTTTATTTCTTTCTCTTTTCTAATTGCTATGTCTAATCTTTCCAGAACAATATTCAACAGGAGTGATGATGGTGGGAATCCTTGTCTTGTTCCTGATTTTAGCATGAAAGTTTTCAGGTTTTGACTATTTAGTATGATGTTGGCTGTTGGTTTTTCATAGATAGCCTTAATCAGGTTGAGATAAAGACCTTCTATTCCAATTTTCTGTAG